GATTTTTCCAAACTTTTCCATCCTAAATTTATACCGCAGAGAGTTCTAAACTAGTTTGGATTCCCCATTCAAGTTATCAAAACCCACTTAGATGAACTATCTGGAGGGAAAGTTTTCACAACCGGCCTAAAACACCTAAGGTCTGCAATTCGACTCCCTCTAAAGGATCTCGATCAAATACGACATTGTAGACAAAATGACACTTGTTTAATTGACCCACAATGAAGATTGAAGATGCTCTAATCAACCTCATTAAATACTCTCTCTCTTAGGCCAATAGCTCAAATTGGAGAGTGTGATATATTGAATGAATCTCATGATTAATACTTCAATTCTATATATAATAGTGAGTGATACAAACATAGGATTCATTCAACATCAAACCATAACATACATTGCTAGAAATATATACCCAATTGAGAATGGAGTCTACTCGATAGCGAGAGAAAGAGAGGAAAAAGAAAACTCAAGAAGAGAAATCATCTCGTGGGGATGGATTCTTGATATTGAGCTCCAATCTTTACTCCTTGGTGATGAACCTTGCATCCGATTTAGGTTGGAAGGCTCCAATCACCTTCTAGGGTTCCTCTTTCGTTAATTTCTCTCTCTAGGAGGCTGTAACTCTCACTTCTCTCTAATATTTGTCTCCCTTAAACAATGGCTTCATATATGATTTGTACACAGAATTGTGCAAGTTACAGTTTTACGTCACGGCCGTGACATTCGACAGTGACCGTGACATCAACCACAATGTGCATTATCAATTACATAGGTCACAACTGTGTTGCCCAGGTCACGGTTGAAAACGTGACATGTGGTTGCTAACCGTTACAGGTAAATTGTGTGTAAAAATGTTAAAAAAGCGCTAAAAATGATATAAAAAAATGTGTGTTATCCATTTTTGTACGTTTCCAACCAATTTCACACCCTCTCCCAATAAACCAATGATTAGAACATCGATCCCTATGATCACATCAACCATAAACGAGTTTTAAATCTATCTTCAAAGTTTGAGGATGATGCAATGGTTGTTTTCTCTGGAATCCTCCCTGGAATCAACTGCCCAGCTCTAGGAAAACAAGGTTGAACCCTGTCCGACCAGTAACATTTCTCGACGAACCAGAAATCATAACAACGATCCCAACAGTTGGTTCGAATCCTATAAAGTATGAAACATGTCCTCCAAATTTGATGACGATGCAATGGCGGATTGTATTATAATCCCCCTTGAACTCACCTTTTTGCCGCAAAACAAAAACTTGGTTGCCACTTGAACTATCAAATTTTCCATTAGTTACAATTAAGCCATTCAATTTTCAATTCAATTCCCATTATTTTAGACATAAAATGAATTTAACCATGCTCGCCCCTTGGCAGGTCGGGTCCAGGTTGGGTAATTTAGCATGGGTTGCGGGTCGGGCAGGTTGACCCAATGAGTATGCAAGTTATATGAAAAACATTAGAATTATTTGTTATTTTCATTATAAGACCAAGAAAATAAACATATTATGATAAATGTAGTTAAATTATTGGAGATATTGAGCTTTTTAATAATTTAAAAACTTTATTATAGCTGAAATATGATGTAATAAAAGAAAAATCTTAAATAATTTGACTAAGATTATATGTAATTTAAGCAAGAACGGGTCGAGAATGGGGCGGGTCAGGGCAGGTCAGGTTGACGAGAGTACCCATGCCCGCCGCCTGCCCCAAAACAGTCCAAATAGGTCGGATAAAACAGGTCAGGTCGAAATTGCCATCTCTAGTTATAGTTAATCAATTCAACGATTGCTTCATATTTAAAAATCGCTCAATTATTGGGATGACATCATCTTGATGCGAGCATGGCATATGACATGTTGAAGATGGATGAGGATGCTACATCATAGCTTCATCAAGTGATTACTTTGTTGTTTGACGTGCGAATTAAGTGATTACTATTTACTAATAATCTGATTTCTCGTGTTCAATGGATGGAAAATCTTATAATAAAATAAACTACAGTATTCCTGTTTAATTTAACATCCAGATTGAAATATAATGGCAGATAACGAAGTGTAGTTGTTATTTGGTTATACTTTTTTAAGAATGAAGATGCCTCATTATTTCCTTATTGCATTGTTGGTGTAGCAGTATGTTTGCTCGACTATTAAAAGTTTGTAAAATTAGATTATCCGCATGAGTAGTGGCCTTTCTACATGAGACATGTAGTTTGTTGAAAATTAATTAGATTATACACAATAACTTATATTTTTACGCTATGCTTTTACTTTTTAGGTTCTTACTCATGTTTCCGCTTCGGCGTAGAAACGTGCATTATACGAGCGGATCGGGTTGTCAGTGATTCGAGTTCGCGCGTTATGTTACTTACTCTTTACTAGTTACAACTTCCACATTATTTATTGCTCTAGTTGAGATCGAGGTATAAAATGTGAATGATTGTTGCTTTCATCACCTACATTTGGTTCCAACGAAAAATAATTAACAAATTTGAACATTGTTCAACAAACCTAATTCATATATCGAACCTTAAAATCTATATGTTACTTAGTAAGTAATTCATATTTGATTAGCAATATCTACGTTATATATGTGTTTAGCATGCATAAATTTAAGATATGACACATAAATCATATTGCAATGAATATTTAGCCCCATACACAAAGTCTCAAACCACATTGAGTTGCAAAATACGTAGTATAACCAACATACGTTAATCAAGTTGCTTTGAGAGTCATACCATCAATTTGAGCTCCAAAAGTTACTTATAAGCAGGTTGGCTCATTTTCAATCCTAGTATCATATACAACTGCAATAGATTCGTACACAATTTGCAAAATATATCCTTTAACTAACTAAAAATCCTAGTTTTCAATACATTACACATATTTGATTATTTCCAAGATGAAACTCTAATTTAATATTGAACATTTCTCTCAATGCGTTTACAATGTCCCAGCCACTAAATGCTAAAGCAATCATATGTAACACATTGTGACAATCAAATTGACAAGTAATTAAGTAAATTATCTATAATGTAAAATAACCTAAATTTGAGGTGGTTCGAGTAATATTATAGTGAAGATGAGATAACCAATAATAGGTTCTCAAATCTAATATGTCACTTGGTTATTTCAGGTAAAGCTATAATATACTCAATCAGCCATGGCCACCACATATAAATTCTAGATTAATATTTAAAAGACTAAAATTTTGAAACATACAAAATTTGAAATTACAAAACTTTCACATTTTTTTTTACCGAAAATTTGAAAATACCAAAATTTCTTTCCTTATTTACCTTCCCAGAAACTAAAAGCATTCGTATTTCTATCATTTCTTTTCCAAAAAATTTAAGAATAACAAAATATTCCTCCTTATTTGTTTTTCCATATATCAAAACCACCAAAATTTATCACTTATTTTTTTTCCATTAATAAAAACATCAAAATTTTCCCTTTCTTTCCTTTTCTGAAAATTGAAAGCACCAAGTTTTCATTTTCTTTCTCTTCTAAAAAATTTGAAAATACCTAACGTGTTTATATTTAATTCATAAATTTATTGAAAATTTAATTTGATCATAATTTTATTTTATATATACTATATTAAGGTTGTACATTATCTCATTTGTTAAATATTTATAATCAATATTGACATTGTGCTAATTTTATATTTTGTATTTTTTTTTACCTTGTAAAAAAACTTAATGTTAAGTGAACTTCATATTTTAATTCTTGTAATTTTTTAAAATGCATAATTTCAAGTAAATCTTTAATTTGTATAAAAAAAATCATTTTAAAATAGTATATATATGATATAATATAGTAATTAAGCAAGTCGATCGGATGGGTTCAGGTTAGTGGGGTTGTGAGTTAATAAGGTTACAGATTTAATAAGGGTACATATTAATGGGGTTCAGGTGACTCGGATTGCGGGTTAGTTATATTATGGGTTGGTCAGGTTGCGAGTCAATTGGATTATGAGTCGGGAGGGTTACGGGTTATTAAACTTTAGTTAATTCGGGTAGCAGGTCGGGTTGCTCGGATCGGACTCTATTTTGACACCTCTAGTCTAAGATTCCAATATTTGTTCGACGCGTTTGAATACTTGTCCAACTGTCTATAAGCACATAAACCATTATTGAAAAACATGTCAACAAACATTCATATGATAGATATAAATATTAGTATGTTAGATATGAATTTTAGTTTTGGAGATATTAATATTAGTTTAGTCTTTGAGAAAAAGATTATATATTGCCGAACAAATATTACACGTAGCCAAAGAAGAATTCAAATGCGTTGAAAAAGTATTCAAAAGTGTCGAACCAGTATTTAAAATCTTCTGACAAGCATTCAAATATCCGAAACTATCAAATATTTCACATAAATGAGTACATATTCATAGGCGCGTCTAATAAGTATTCAGAAGTGTCAAAGAAGTATTCAAAAGACATTGAAGAAGTATTCGAAAGACGTTGAAGAAGTATTCAAACATGTCGACTAGTATTCAAAAGCTTTCAACAAGTATTCCCCATATCCAGAATGGATAAATAATTCATATAAATAAACACGCGTATTCATAGGTGTCGAACAAATACTCATAAAGACAAAAACTATTATCGAACACATAATCAAATATTTGTAACGTGCAAGTATTCATAAAGACATAAACTATTATTGAAAACATATCAACACGCGTTTCCTTTTACAGAGAAACCACATTCACAATCATATGAACCATTAAGTGATATAAAAAATGGCTATTACTATTGAAAATTGGTATTTTTTTGCGAACCGCCTAGGGCACCATTTCGGTGTGCTAGACACTTAGGCAGGGTCCCAACATATCTTGAACCTTAATATGTATTCAAGACCCACCAAGTGTGAATATGATATATAAATAAATAAAAGGGTGTAAACAAAAAATGAAATCCCTAATTACTTGATTCATCATCAGTCATCACCATCCCAATACATATATGGTCAAAACTTAATTAGTCAAACATCGAGCCAGAAAGGCACACCGGATACTGAAATCCAGGCATCCCCTTGTATAAATCGACTCACCGTGAATTCCCCGACCTGTTGAGGTGTAGTGAGCAGATGAAATCCAGGCCACCGCACCCTCCCCTGGGTCGCTGCACCGGATCCTGTGTTCCTATACTCGGCGTAGTAGAGCGTGGAAAGCGCAAAGCTGCCCCGCCACTCATTCCAGCCCTTTGGGTGAACGATGCCGTCTAAATCCGTCTGCCAAACCACCGTTCTCGAGTACTCCTTCCACGGCCGCCCCAGATAAGTCCGGGGGGTGAAAGCCCTGTCGAGATCCGGTGCGGGTCGTACCCGACAGCCGTGGATGGAGAAGCCGGTGTTCTGATTCGGGTCCTCCCGACCCTGCGCGGTCACGTGGTTGGCCTGATGTCGCATCGGGTTCCTGATGTAGATGTCGCAGTTCTGGAGGACGGCGGAGGCATCGCCAAAGATGAAATCGATGGTGCCGTAGATACGGCAGTCACGGTAGAATTGACGGAGGGAGTGGAGGAAGAGTGTGTCCTGGTAGCCTTTGAAGCTGCAGCGATAGAACAGAGCGCGGTCCGAGTTGGCCCGCATCGCTACGGCCTGGTGCTTCTGTGGGCCGGCTGTGTTCTCGAACGTCATGTCCCGGGCCCAAAACCCGTCTCCAGACACGCCTGCGTTCCATTTCATTGCAAACACACGAAAATCACAACGGCAAGTATTTCCAAGCAGTTGGGTGAGATTAGAGATGGTAACAAAATCTGAATTCACGGGTATCCATCCAACCTAATTCAATCAATGCGGGTAAAATTCGTGTTGATGGGTTTTGGGGCGGGTTTGGGTTTAAACCTGTTTACTATTCACCGGGTTGGATTGAGTTTGGGTTTAGATAAACCCGACCCATGGGTACCCGCCCACACCCATATAATTAATATTTTAAACAACTAATCTTATTTATGTTTGTGGAGATATGTCTAATTTTTTCTTTCTAAATTTGTAGAATGAAGTTGATGTTATCGAGTGGAGAGTGAAGAAACTTAATTGAAAGGACAAAAGTCTTCAATTAATCATGTTATTAATTGACAATTTGTGATTTGCTTCAATTTTCTTGAGTTTTCGAGTTTTCTAGATTGGCGTTAAACAATTTGTATAGTTAATTTGTGATTTGTTTGAATTTTATAGAATGGTGTTTTATATATGAGTAATTTGTATTGAGAGATTGATATTTGACTTTAATTTTGATAGAAACTTGTTATTTTAATTTTTTACGACAAAAACCCGTGGGTACCCATGAATCCACGGATAACCAGCGGGTTGGGTTTGAGTTTTTCAAACCCAATGGATTTTACCCCAATTTTTTCACGGATAAACCCATGGGTTTAGGTTTGGGTTTGGCAAAACCCGACCCATTGCTATCCCTAGGTGAGATTACAATTAAAAGTATAATAGCTCAAAACACCTTGCACTGTACATCTAGACTGTTTTTTCTGTTCACTTAGACACAATTTGCTATTCATTTGGACTTAGTTTTACTATTCATCTGACAATTTACTGTTTGGAGCTAGAGAAGCTGTGTGTGGCTGGCTGACAATTTCTCTGTCTCCCTATGCTGGTCATAGAGACCCTTGAAGAGATTGTGGGCCATTCATGGAAACAATGGAGGGTTGCTTGAGGGGATTGGAGGAAGCTGAGAGAAAAAGAAGTAGCTGCAAATTGAAGTTCAGTTCTCTTCGCGTTGGTCACAAGGAAACTTTCCTCTGTCAGTTGCTTTCTCAGTGATTTGATGGTGAGTGAGAGACTTTGCTGCAGATATCGGGAGAGGAAAGAAGGGTTGCCAATGGAGATATTGTTTGTTTTTTATTTTTGTCTTGCCTCTTCGGATTTCGGAAGGGGTTTTTGGGAGCCTGTGCCCCTCAGCGAGAAGAAGCAAGGGAAGAGATTTTCCCAGTGCTTTAGGCGTCGGGAAGTTTGTTTGGCAGATGAAGAGCCACGTATCCTTTATTTTGGCCATTCGTTTGATCTACCCTGTCTGCTCTCTTTCTTTTCGATTCCATTTTTGGATGAAACGAGGGCTTAGAAGAAAAAGTTAGGAGTTCATTAGCTCTCTCATTATTTAGGTTGCCCAATACTTTCCTCTCTCCACTCTCCTTCTCAAACTTCTCTCTGCTTTGTTTCTCACATCTGCTCTCTGGAAATCAGTGGCGAGCGATCAAATGGAGAAGGAAAATCTGAGAGGACAAGCGAGGAATCCAAGGAGCCCCAGATCCGCAAGGTATGTTTTTATCTATTTTGGTGATTTTGTTTTTCTCGGTACTTAGATGAAGCCAACAATCTATAGATCTATGGTTTGGATTGTAGATCCGCTGGAGAGGACACACAGAGGGGCGAAGAGATCGATCGATCGATGGGAAGTTGATTGTTAATCCTGATGGTTTAAGGTGAGAATATGATGGTTTTGCTTCAACTCTGTCGTCTTCTATCTTTAGTTGCATGCTATTTCAACACCTTTCTTCGACTCTTCCCCTGTTCATCTTCACTCTCACGGTTTGTAACCTTTAATGATCCTGGCAGTTTAGATGCTCGGAAAATTGATTTTCTGGAGGAGATTAATGATATATCGACCACCTTCCCAGCTCATATGAGATCTGATTCTCGGTTTCTATCATTTCATGATTCTGCTCTTGAAGGTTTTTTCCCCCTATATTCTCATTCTTAGATGAACTAATATTCGGGTTATGACGCTTTTCCCTTATCTTTTTTTCAGAAACCAGCGGAACTCAGAACGAGTAAATGCCTGCGTTGTGTGGTCTCGAAAGGATCATGAGTCCCAGATTTGCTGGCGTTTGTTGTCAGCTGATTCCTCCTCCCTATATCCAGTCGATTTGTTCTCTCTGTCTCTCCCTCATTTTAAGTTTGTTTCATCGCTTTTGAATAATATTTCATCAACGAGTTTACTATTATAGACAACTTCAATTTGTAGGGGAAAACCACCAAGGCCGTTGGTTACCTGGATTGCAATTCGTGATTCGTTGGTCGGCGTTATCGCAGTGGTGAAAGCAGCTTGGGTAGGTCCAATATATCTACGTTCATAGTTAATATACTCTTTTATTTTTCTTATATTTTGCGCTTGAATTGATCATATATTCTTCTACTAAAAACGGGTGTTGAAGATGCCATCCATCATCCATGATTACATGGAGTAGAAATCTTTGAAGCCTTTTTCCAAACTTACACAGATTCCGCATGTGTTTTGTTTCCAAATCCTAATAATTTTATTGTTTTGTACTTTTATAAACTAAACCCAGATCTTAGGAAATTGTAGGAATTGATTGGATCACAGCATATATGATTTAGGGAAAGCTTCCAGTGATTATTAGTCTAATCCATTCTAGAGGAAACTGAATGTTAATTCTCATCTTTTTTAATGCCTTAGACCTTAGTGTTGGTAGTCTCCTCTTAATCAATTGTATTCGTGCTTTGCTGTGCAAAATGACAGAGTTTTGTAACAAAATGACCTTAGTGTTGGTAGTCTCCTCTTAATCATTCCTTCTCCACAATTGTGGATTCCTGAGCATCCCACCATGAAATTTTTTATCAATGATTTGTTTTCCAGTTTCTGTGGCGTAGTGATGTTCAACATCAAGTTAGATAGATGTGATGTCTCTAAATGGAGACATTACAGTAGGGTACATGTTTGGTTTGGGCGCCCCAAAGGTTTAGATCTGATGCCTTATTATATTTCTGACTCTGTTTCATTCTCTTGCCACATATGCAGTTATTGTTGGATGATGGATTTTGCCTCTGAGGGAACCTTCTGCTGTAATGTGTGATGATCTGTTGATGTTTCCTTCTTTTTCATGGTCAACGAGTTTGTTTTGGCATTTACGTAAACTATTTCTCCCATTTTTGTTTCAGCCTATTACGAAGAGAAAATGTGGCCACCGATGGTTCAATCGTAAATCGGAACTTCCAAAAGATCATTTAGTGATGATGTTAGCATGTTAGTTAGTCACCTAATTGAGGACATGTAAACTCATGGGTGTTCTGTATTATTTCCTATTATGTTAAACCTTGATATAATGTTAACCCATGGAGTGTAATGCTGCTATCTAATGAAATATGTCCCAAAATTTGATTCAACAGCTCAATACTGTTTGTTTATATGTTTTCAACAAAATTAGTTCATTTGTTTTCTAAAAAAACCCTTAATTATAGCAAATATCCCGCGGCAAAGCGCGGGCCAGGATACTAGTTGATTAATTAATTTAAAATACATACTCACCGAACGTGGCGGAGTTGTAGGTGGTGGAGCCGTCAGGAACATTTCGGCTGCCGGTGACGATAGTCCGATCAATGCCATCACCCACCATCATTAGATTCCTCAAATGCCGAGGGATTTCCACTCTTTCCTCGTACACTCCTGCTTTCACGTATATCACCAATCTATGCTTGTGTCTTCCCGCTCTCGCCGCCGCCGCCGCCGCCACGGCCTCCTCTATGGATCGATGAGTGCCGGAGCCATCTTTAGCTACTACCATATCGGCCTTTGAAGTTGTAGCTGTCCATGATGTCAGCAATACTCCCCCATTTTCGAAAATGCTGCTATTTTGATCACCGGTGCTCACCGCTTTGCTTGGTGTACTAGCTTCTTAAACAAAGAAACCAGAAAACAAAGCAATGAAATTTTTATTTATTAGTTAAAAACACAAAAGAGTTGATTCAGACAAGTTACACAAAATTAGGGGTAGCTAACTAGCTATATTGGACTTAGAGGCCTAGTTACCCTGAGAATTTTGAAAATCGCGTGTAACCACAATGAGAAAGAGAATTTTGAAATCACGTACAATTAAATTAAAATATATTTAAAAATTCGATGGTTTGGGAGACAGATAACATGGAATGGAATGAATTTAGTTTACCAGCAGATGGGTTTGCGTACGAAGCCAAGGCCTTGGCAAAGGAAGACGTCAAATCCGGAGCAGTAATAGTAAGACCGCTCTCGGCCAGACCGTCGACGCAACTCCTGTGGTTCGCCAGCGCCGCGCTCAGCCAGGTGATGGCGTCATCCCGGCTGTAGCTGATGTTGCCGCGGCCCAACAATGGCTCCAGCATCCACTCCGCTTCACCGTACAGCTTGCCGCAGTCTCCCAAAGCCCCCGCGACTTCGGCAAGCGCTGCCGTTTTCGCCTGCTCGACCCAATTCCTCGCTGAACCGATTTGGTGACGAACCGCCTCCAGGGCGTCGCCCTGAGAGTGAGAGGCCGGAGCGGTGACGGCGGCGGCGGCTGCTATTGCAGTTACAAACATTAAGGTTGTACTGATCAACCTGCTGGCAGCTGCCGATGACCACATGATGATGTTTAATTTCTCTCTTTTCTAATTTTGCTTTTCCGGCCAGGGACGAGCTAGCAATATTTGTATATCAAGTTGTTGTTTTTGTCACATATATGTACTGTAACGGATGTGCACATAGAACAGAAGCGGGGAATATGACAAGGTTGTGGAAATGGTGACAGATGTTGGGTACGTAGGAGAAGGGCATGTGTCATTGAAGGGTGCTGGAGTGTGAGTATACAAAGCCAAGTAAGCGCTCAACATATACCAAAAGATACTCGAAAGAAAGACACATGTACATGTATACACGTACGTATGTATACACTAAAGCCTTCGACCGGAAAATTCTAGCGGTCCACCAGCTCACAGGCCACGACCGATGCCAATTTCCTTTTTGCATTGTTTGGTTTCTTGAATCCGGTCTACGAAAATGGTGAATGTGAGGGAATCACATATGTGGTATAACTATAGGTGTTAAAACATGATCCGATCTGAGTAACCTGTCCAATTAATTCGATCCGTAACTCGCCTGCAATTCGAATGGAGTCAAATACCTGTAACTCGCCGACCCGCAACCCATTTAACCTGCAACCCGCTTGACCCACAACCCGACTAACCCAAACCTGATTAACCCAACCCGAACCCGCCCGATTGGCACGAATAATACTAAATAATATATTTTAGCGCATAAATATTATATATAGATAATATATATATATATAGTGACTACTTCGGTGCACTCACAAAAATGAGTGCGTTCAATGCACCCAACTCAAAAACTAGTCTTAACTCTTAAGGTGTCGGATTTTGAAATTTAATTTGTAGAATTACTGTAATATGATGATATAACATATGATAATAACTAATTAGCGGATTACCCCAAGCCCTAGACCTCCAATTTTGATATCTATCCCTAAACCCCAAATTGTAAACCATAACCATAACCCTAACCCTAATCCTAATCTCTAAACTCTAAATCCTTCAAATTAAAGTAAATCTGGTTTTTGTGCAAATTCATGTGCGTTATTGTTCATCACATCATAAGTGATGATTGACATTATTTGGACATAAATCACATGTTTAAAATGACGGTTATGAAGTGAGTGCACTGAATGCACCCAAAAAAGTGAGTGCACCGAAGACGCCTTTGCCATATATATATATATATGAAGTTTACATGACTTGCCCTATTATTTTTTATCTTTCTCACCAAGAAGAAAGCTTTACTTTGTGTTGACTATTGCCATTAAATTGAATCACATAATACTATAATAGTCCCATTGTCTGTCTCAGTTGATAAGTAGAAATCATAAGAGGGTTATCAACATTTGGTTGATGTGTATAAATAATATATATAGATAACACACATACATATGAAAAACATGATTAACTTAATTAACTAAACAACAAGTTCAAATTATAACAAATTAAATTCGTGAACTTGTTGGCTTAAGTGATGACCTTTCCAATTCAAGGTTCTTGGTTTCAAAGCTATCGGAGGCATTTTTTTAACATTTTGTAAACTGAATTTTAAAATAAAAACTTATATTTTAATTAATGGTTTACAACTTAGGAAGACCATCCTTAAAATTTAGTTTTGAAAAACAAAACAGAAAATTAACTTAAATTAAACTTGGTTACGACTTACAATACAACATGTATTTATAAATAATAAATCATTGAGACACTTTAATACAAATTTAAAAATGATTTCGAGTTAGGAATCTTACGATTAGGACTTATGTTATTCACAATAATGTAAAATCTAAAATTGACTTAACCTACGTTCTTCACACAACCTATGTTCTACCACAAACAAACGTCTAAGTGCAGGGGAGTGATTCCGGTCCAAATGTATACATTTTCTCCCCCTTTTCTTGAGGTGTTTGAGGCATTTTAACTCAGTGAGGTTCGGTTTTAAGCTAGGTTGTGCATGTTTCTAGTGTGTTTCAGATCCTAGCAGGTGGAATCGACCTCGGGAATGAAAGTTGGACGAGAAGGGAAAAAAACGGATCGAAGGGAGGAAACAGCTGAGGAACACGGTGGAAGCCAAGTTTTCACGGTCAGCCCAGTTGTGATAATGGAGCCTAGACCGTGAAGAGCAAGGAGTCTATATACCTACGCGCGCCTCGCAGGTCTAAATGAGATCAAGCCACCCGACCGTGTTAATCCGCCCTCATCAGTGAAGAGCATTAATGAAACAACGTGCTTTTGTTCAAGATCACGGTCTAAGCAATGAGTTCTCGGTCGTGAACTGGGACCGTGAAACGCTCCCGATCTGGGTATAAAAGAAGAAGTGAGCTGAAAGAAGAGGGAGAGCTAAGTGATAGAATCACATCTTCTTCCTCAGATTTCTAGAGAGAGAGTGTCGAACAAGAGAGGAGAAGAAAGTTAGGGTTTCATCCAAGCTTCAAGATTTGGTAATCTCATCCACCAAGGTTGATCTCTACACCAAAGGAAGAAGGCAAACATCTCAAGATGGTCTTTTCACTTCTTCTTTGTGTATTCCCTAGTCTTAGCATGTAGTAGTTCCCTTCTTTCACTTAGGTGTTTGCAAACCGTAGCTAGAATTATGTGATAGATTGTATGAATTGAATGTTTTATGTGTGATTTGTGTTTTAATGCAAGTATTGAGGTATTTTCAGAAGGTTTGAGTTGTGTTCTCCATTTCCCATGATTATGCCATTTTGACCTAGGTAGAGGGAAATCCTGTTCTTGCTAAGAGGCTTTTAAAAGATGTAATTCCTCGGCCAAATTGAGCCACCTAATTAGGTCAAATTAGGGCAAACCTCATACTACATTTTAGCACCTTAAGTTGGTTGTTGTGTAGCCGTCCGGATTGAGGTCCGAGGAGAAGTCTTGGCAACTCTTAGTCGATTGACCAATAGAGCTAATTCGCTAGATTGATTTGATATCCCTTGGCCTATCGATCGAGAGAGTGAAGCTTCTTCACTAGTTGTTTTCCTACGGTTTACAACCACTCCTACTCACACTTGCATTCTTTTCGACTAATCTTGATAATGGCTAGGGGGAGCAACACTCGGGTGAAGATTGTCAAATCGGGGTGGTCAATTAGTACGATATTGTCCCCTTTGGGCCAAGCCCGCACAGATTTACTCTTGGGTGTCCTCTGATAACATCGGATTTGCACATGTTTGCACCCTCGTTTCTTGATCATTTTGGCTTGAGTTTCTGCTTTCTTGGACTATTTTACGCTAGGTTGTGTTCCTTTGTTACATTTCAGGTCCTAGCATGTAAATTGAAGCATAGGCGCAAGTTTCAAGTCAATCGGAGATCATTTGGCAATTCGGGAGAAGAAACACGAGCATGACCTGAGGAATAATGGACTTCTACCTCATATTATGGATAAATAATCATGCAAGCTTGTCATGAGAAGAAAGAGGACGAGACTACGAGCATCTGGGATCAAACGGCGACTGATTCGGAGTCCGGACGAGGGAGAAATGAAGAATTAAACAGAGGCTAAGCAAGCCGCACGGGCATCCTGGAACTCCACACGGCCGTGTGGGTCGTGGCCGTGTGGAAATCACCGAGCCTTCACACGGGCAGCTGGGAAAGCCACACGGCTGTGTGCCCTGGCCGCGTGATCGGGAATTCCTGTTTAAAACCCGATTTTCAGCAAAATGAAAGGGGAGAGCTGGGTTTTTGGTTCCCAAACACCCAAGGGACGAACCCTAGAGAGAGAGCGACTTGGGAACATTCTTGGAGCTATTTTGGAGGATTTCTTCGCCATTGGAGCTCGGGAATCAAGCTTGGAGATGGAGATTGAAGATCTAGATAAGATTTCTGCAGTCTCTCTCTTCTCTATGGAGTAACTTCCCTTCACTTAGGTTTTGAGGAACCCTAGTTCCATGTGTTAGGATCTTTCTTGTATGAAGTTTTGGATGCTATATTGTTTGATTATAATCGATTGAGGCATGATTTATTGAGTCAATTGAATCTTGATCAAATTCTCTTGATTTCTGCTTTAACCTATGATAGATAGAATCTGATTAGGTTAAGAGAGCTTCCTTGATTGATAGTGGTGAATTGGTTGTGCGAGAGTCAATCAATTCACTGCTTTGTACTGGAATTCATTCCAGTAGTGGAGTTCTGTGTTTATAGCCTCAGCTTTCTATCCTGGTGAAGACTAGTCGTCTGCCGGGTAGTTGGACTGAGAGGGCTTGGTCAGCTTAAGAGATTCCAAGCTAATTTAGGATCTTCCGCAGTTTAATCAACAGTAGATCAACCAAAGGTAATTGCAACTTGGACCTAATTGAGGAGCTAGGGGGAATCATACCTAAGTGAGTTCCCAACTTGTAATTAGTAGAGTAGTCAGTAGAGTAGTTTATAAATCAATCCTTAATCTAGTTTGCTAGATAATGAACTGAAGCTGAGTAATAGTAACTCTAGAGACCCGTGGATTCGATATTTATTACTTGTGGCACTATACTGCAATCCCTTTCATTGGTTAGACTTGGCCATTGTTAGGTGTTGTGTTTTAGCGTGTCAAGTTTTTGGCGCCGTTGCCGGGGACTTTCTAGATTATTAGGAAATGCAGAAGTTTGTTACTTTAGCATTTTTCTTTTGTTTTCCGCCCTTGCTTTTCACTTGGGTGTTTTTTATTTTTGTTGGTGCAGATCTGAATCATGGACCCTCATGGATTCTCCAATCATTGGGGGTATCCACCACCATCCGAGTGGTATTACCCCGAGACTCCCTAGAGTAACCAAGGAGGAGAAGACTATGGAGTCGGGTTCCAGTACCAACCCCCTTTCTACGGAGACAATCAGACCCGTGGGCATATCAAGAACAACCTCCTTATCGAGAAGAATTTCTCCCACAACCAGAGGGGCCATTGGAGCTGGAGTTACCCATGGCGGCCTTCATGGGCCATTATGCAGAGGCATGCTACACTCCACAGCCAGATCCAAACTATGAATTGAGGCTTCTCATGGAGCAGTTTGCTCGAGACTGTGAGAGATCATGCTCCAGGATGGATCATTGTGTCCAGGCCT